TTTTCCCTTTCAAATTTCCCAGATTCAAGAAACGCCCCAGTCAAGATTCTCATGTTCATCCACACCCTAGTGTAGCACGAAGTCTCCTGGGCTTGCACTTTGATCACGGGCGCTGTATGTGAAGAGGCCAATATTACATGTACCACAAACGTTGGAAGCTCATCGCAATCTGAACCCTGTCTGATACAATATGTCATGATACATTTTATCATTTTAGGTTTTAATTGACAAACCCAACGTATAGTGTTTAGTTTTAGTTTTAGTAAGAGTTTAACGGCATTTGCAACGCAGTAGGGTCATATAAGTGCCGGAGGTTAGAGTTCTTACAAGAGAGTAACAAACAGAAAAAGAAGGAGGGGAGATAAAGACGATAGATGTTTAATAGGAAAGAAGTAGCAAACCACCCACAACGTGTAGTGTACGATCATGCGGGACCTGACTAGTTGAATAAGTGTGTGCCTCAATTCGTCCGCCATGCCCCGTGCTTAGCTTACAGTTAATTAATAAATTACATGAATTACGCCTCGCCATCAACCACATAGTTGGGGCGTCCGGTTTGAGGAACGGGGTGGGAGGGGGTGGGGGTAGGGGTGGCATGTTAGTTGGGCACGTAGACGGTGAAGGACATTAATTTATCAACTAAAAACGGCTGGGATAAAAATTGGGAGACCAATTTCATTCCTAAGGCCAATTGCAAAGACCATATTGTACTGCCTGTAATTGCAATAATTGCGCTAATGGTCATGTGTAATGATTCAGCTTCTTGGTTACGCAAAAGACTTGCTGTGCATTACGTGAACAGATGTGATGTTTGTGCGTGTGAGTGTAGATCTATGTTGGGGGGGAGGGGGGGGGGCAAGAGAAGACGGGGAGAGAGAAAGAGAGGAGAGGGTGAAATCGTAGAGGAGGTGATAAGAGAAAATGGGGAGGCTGTGCATGTGAAAAAATTGGGAAACTAGGGATAGACCTGAAAAACAGAATTTAGATGAGGTATGAGGTAAACAAGCTCACATGCACATACGCACGCGCACGTACACGCACGCACACACATACACACACACACGCACACACACACACACACACACACACACACACAC